TACACCCATTTTCTTTTTTCTTTATCTTTCTATCTCGAGGTGGCGCAAAGGGTTGGCGGGTTGCCGTCGCGTAGTAGGAGATTGGGGACATTTCGTTCGTGTAAAAATATTTAATATGTATATGTACATTTCGTATATACATACAATATAGTTCTGTCTGTATATATAGCTATATATAAATACTGTTGTAGAAAACTATGATCTGCGTTAGGGTATATGGGGGTCTGGGGGGACTTGAATCTGTCTCTCTCTCTCTGAACAAGGGAAACGAGCGCGACCCGCCAATCCTCGATTATTATTCTTTTTTTTTTCTTCTTTTAACTATATTTGCTTACAACTTGTGTGTATGTATATGTATGTACGTGTTTCTCTCTCTCTCTCTCTCGCTCGCTCGCTCTTTTTCTCCGGCGTGTGTTGGTATTATAATTAGTGTGTACCATTACATTATGTGTGCTGTGTGTACGTGTTCATTGTAGTTATGTATATCACGCGACAATCCGGCTGAAATTGTCGCTTCCTACATGTATTCGTACAGTTCACGAAAAGAAACGAAAATTAATAAAAAAAAAAGATACACGAAACAAAAGTCGCCAGATAAAAAAGAGAAAAAAACAAACAAACAGAAAGAGACTAAAGACAAGAAAAAAAAATATACCAAGAAGAAAGTCTATCGACGAGATCACTGTGTGTGTGTGTTTGTTCATCGACTTTGCACGCGGTCGATCAACGCGTGTTCGATTATTTCGTTGATCGTGGATAAAAAAGGGTTGGGGGATTGAGATATAACTGGGGAGACAATTCTTATAGTGACAAAAAAAAGAAAAGAAAAAAAAAAAAGACAGAAACGTTCAACTCGATTTTCCATTTTTTCCTCTCTCTCTCTTTCATTCCTTATTCTCCCTTTATATCCCTGGACAGACGGTTTATTACAAACGCGTTTAACGATACCTAGAAAACCTTTTATTAGCTTCCTCCTTTGATCGATGTCTGCACTATTTTTTCTTTTTTAATTCTTTCGTTTGATTATTATCTTTCGTCTCTTTTTTTCTCTCTTTAAGATTTCCCTCCTCTCGGCAAACAACACCGCGGATAAATTTGTACTCTGCGAAGAATTATTCTTTCTTTCGTTTCTCCGATTCCCTCCTCTATTTTTCCACGTTTTTTTCTCTCCCCGTCTCTCTTGTCTCGTCGAATGCTATCGCGACACACGATCATCGGTAATTATTTATAGAGAGCTTTCATTATTTTTTTTTAATATTTTTCAAGGCAAGAAGTGGTTTCTTTGTACCGATTAGACCTGGATTCGCGTCTCGATCGATCATTCCCGCATTCTCTCCCTAAACGAAGCCCCTTCCCTCCCTGTCGGTTCACTTCGCGGACCGACGAGACTCGACCGCGTGGATCCGGGCTGCGCGAGACGAGGCGCGATTCGAAATTTCACACAACGCTGTCGTCTCGATCGGTGACAAGCGTTGTTAAAACGGCAAAAACGCTCGCTGAGTGTCTCTATTCTATGTTTGGAGAAAATCATCGTGTGATCTTCGCGATTCGTATACAACTGTTTCGATCGTATACAAATATTTTCCTCGTAAATATATATATACAATATAAAGGTTAAAAAATTCGAGAGGATCAGCGTCGAGCTCTCCGAATTATACCGACAATTCTGACAAACTCCTCTCTCTCTCTCTCTCTCTCTCCAACACATGTAGAGTTATTGTCTTGGATAAGAAATGTATCTTACTGCCAACGGTTACACGGCTCAAGTCATTAACAAATTTCGCTCGAGAATTTCCCTCTTTTTCTTTTCCGAAGGCGACTGAAGGTTCGACGCTGCTCGTCAAAAAATTTCGCTCGTCTCGCGCACTATCCACGGTTGATAGTCGATTTTCCATGGTTTTTTTTTTCAATTTTTTCGATTTCTCGAATCTACGTAACGTTTTTTTTTTTTTTCTTTCTTTTGGACGTATCGTATCGTACGAGATCGACACAGAAATTTGCGTCTTCGTCAGTGAATGAAGTCACTGAGAAAAGTCCCTGTGTTTCGTTCGATAAAATGCCCTTACAAGCTAAGAAAAATTGGGGGGTTGGGGGTTAGTATACTCCGAGTATTGTGTACAACCTACTAGATCTAGGCAAAAACAAAAAAAGGAAAAAAAAGAAGAAAGAAAGAAATGTAGGGTGTTGAATGAGCTGAAGGTTCGTCTCGTCAGGCATATAACAATCGATTCTCTCATCTTTGCTCGCTGTCGCTCTACACTTTTGCCTTCCACGCACACTCGCGCAAGAACCAACAGAGAAATGAATTGACAAAGGTGAAAATAATATTGAACAATTAATGGAGTAGAAAGAACGTGAAAACGGAAGAAATCCTTCGTTCAAATTCGCGTTTCGCCACTACGTATTGCTAAGTTTCTCTCTCTCTCTCTCTCTCTCTCTTTCTTCTCTCCTCTAGGCGTATCTAATTATGCGTAGGTATACATTTATTTGTATATATATAATATGTATTCTCAAGGTATACCGTAAATGAAAGTAGCTCGTGTATGTATTCAATTAGTTAGGAACCATTTTTAGTGTCAATACTTCTCGAGCCTGGATCGAGCGAAATCATGCGCGCGAATCTCTGCCTCGTCTTTTTCTCTTTCTTTTCTTTTCCCCTCTTTTCTTCTCTTCATCGATTGATCGTGATCGTGGCTCGGAGAACGAGATTCACGTTTGTGAAAAATTCACGAAATGACAAAGAAAGGGGAGAGATCGAGATTGACTTGTTGGGGGCTAAAACGACGCGATAGAAGAACGCGGAAGGATCTCGACGAATGCTTGACAAACGAGAGAAAAAAAGAATGGCACGTGATTCCGTCGTTTCTCGTTTTCCCTATTTTTTTTCTTTTTGTCGAAATATAAGAACAAACGGGAAAAAGTAGGAAAATACACGAGCAACTGATCGTCTAGAGAGAAAGAATAACGACGAGTCGTTTTTTCCCTCGAAAGAAGTGAAAGAAAACTTAAGTACTAGAAAGGTCATGGCAAGCCCTTAGGATGGATTTTTTCCCCTTCGATTTCGAATTCGATCGACGGAAGAACGAAAATGGGAGGAGCGTGAGACTACGATAAAGTGATCGAATGTATATTTTCAAGATTCTCCCGAAACGCGAGGCTTTGTTTCGCAAAATTCGCGCGCGCCACTTCGACTAATTTTGTTCGCAGAACCGAGCGAGATATCATCGTATCGATATACCGCCGAACGAGAAAATTTTCACACTGAAATTCACTTCGATTCGCTCCATTTTGATCGACGCTAATTCCTCTCGTTACCCTGACAATTACCTTTTCGGAACTTGCTAACGGAATCTCAAGCGAATTTTCTCTTTCTTTTAACGAAATAAGCAACCTATTAAAAGGAAAACAAAATTTCTTGAAAAAAAAAAAAAAAAAAAAAAAAAAAATCGTCAGGATGAAAATCACTCAGATTTGTTCCGTTCACGTCGCGCCTGATTTCCTAGCGATAAAACGAGTAAGACAATTAACAATCGCGATAATTTGTCGCGCTCCTTCTGCGACTTTTTAATTGGCGAGACACGACGACCGACACGTATAAATTCAATTCGAAAGAGAAGAACAACCTCTCTTTTTCTCTCTCCTCATTCTTTCTCTGATGTACGTATACGTGTTGTATGATCATACGTGAAAATAATGAGCTTCTCTGTGTTTGTGTATTTCTTATGTACGTAATGCCGTGTGTATGTCTGAATGTGTGTTTGTGTTGCCAAAGTGCACGCGTCTAAAAAATACAGGGGGTGCTAACCCTAGCGCTACACGTAATTCACTCTACTCGTTATTATTTCTTAAATGTGTTTTTCTCTCTCTCTCTTTCTCTCACTCTCT